CTAAATTTCTGTCAAAAATGTAGCTAATTAAATTAATTTGAGATTCCTATAAACAAATGTTCAGCTCTGGGATATCAACGATGCACCATGGAGGTGAAATAAGATAAGGATCTTCTTCCAATACTTAAACTAATTAATGCTGAAGCAAGTTATTAAGCAGAACTATCATTTGCTGCTAATTATGATGATGGAGGGAAAATTTTCAGAAAAAACACACATTGGATCAATCTTTGCTTTCCTCACAGAACAAGCAGGTTTTATGCTCTGCAGGTGAGTTCACTTTTTTTTTTTGCAGAAACAACCTTGTTTGTTGTAACATCCCTCCAGCAAAATACTCTGACACTCTGCAGACCTTAGGCCACCAGCTCCCTCTTGTGTCCATTTGGTGTCATTACTCAAACTGATGGAGGAACATTTTTATAAAAACATTAAGATAAAGTAAATCTGAGTTTTTTCACCTCCACATATGACAAATTTAAATTACCATGGCTGAAGAATTAACAGAACTGTATATCTACTTAACTGTGGCAGCTTAATCTCCTTTTTTATATTTTTCTCCTAAAAGATTTTCCTTTGAAGAGCTTCTGATTAGTTGTAGATTTATTCTTTAAAATGGCTAATTTGACACCAAATGCATAATCATCTTACAATGATAAGACATTAAAATCTATTATTGTTGGTATGGAGGAATAAAAGGTTGTGTGAATGGAGCTATAGATGTTAAACATCTTCAAACCGACAGCAGAGGATGACTCAGGTTTCAGCGCTCCGATTCCTTCTCTGCAACCGTGTCTTTTTCTCACACCTCAGGACATGAGACCCAAACGACTAGGCAGTACAACAAAGACAGTTTGATCATCAAAACAGGGACTCCTGAGTCCAAACTTGTTCCTATCAGGGTGTTTGATCGTTCTGATCATAACTGCTAAGCCTGGAACTGCAGAACCACAGGAGGCTTTTCTGATGAGAGTCCAGCTGCCTTCTTAAAAATGCGTTTTGTTGGTACAAACGTACGTTTTAAATGAAAAGCTTTCATTTTACAGCCTTTTTTATTGAATCAGCTACAGAAATGTTAAATAGCTTCATTTTCACTGATTACTGTTAACAATAAAAGTTAAAAGACCCAATTTATAAAGCAGTATATTATGACAGCATATTTTTTTTTAACAAATGTACATTACAAAAACATTTATTCACGTATTCGATTTGAGTTTTGGTAATAAAAATACAGAGAAATAAGTGCTACTGATGACATTTCTGGTTTTTCAGTGTCGTCTGTCCAGGAAGCAGGAAGTTCAGCCCTTTGTTTCAGATCTTTCGGGTCAGAGACACTGACTGGAATCAGAGACCCCTGGTTTAGATCAAAGCATACCGGTACTTGTATTATAGAACGGCCTAGTCAAAGTCTGCTTCTCATCAATTAGATATTCTGTCAGTTTGAGCCTCTTCAAGTCTCTACAGGAAAAGTGCTGGCAGAGACTCACTGTGGAAAAGTAGAGGGTGTGAATACTTTAGTCAGGAACTGTTGATGAAACCCAAAGGAAATTTCAAGGACTGGTTAAATTTAACACACTGGCAAAATACTTTTGATGCCCTGAAAGGAAAAAAACGTAAACATGGACACGGACAGATCAGTGGATTAGACTGAAACAATGTGTGCTGCTCATAGTTAAAGTTCTGCTTATTCATACAGAGAAACTAATTTCCATGCATTAATGTGTTAATCTGTGATGATCATTGCTGCAAAGATCATGAATCAGGAACATTAAAGACAAAATATCAAACAGGACACAATCCCAGGAACCAAAACATATTTAATCTCCTTTTTTCCTGAACAAATTTCAGTGTTAATCCAACTATTCAACCAAACTAAACATTCAGTGCAGCAGATCAGACCTCTGAAAAGTTATAGAAATACAACCTTGGTTAGAAAAATATTAAACTTCAGTGTCATTGAAACAAAGCTCTGAGAAATGAACCAGCTAAGGGCTTCAACTGGCAGAAAAATGAAATGTTAGCTGTGATAAAGTGGAACATTATCATAATTTTCCACATTTCTATTCTGTTTTTAGTTGGTTTCAACACAGCAGCAGTTGACAAGAGAAAAAAAAGAAAGAAAATAAAATTATCAAAGTGACTGTTCCATAAATAAAGGCTCCAAAGCCTCATGAAAAAAAAAAAAAAAAAAAAAAATGACAGTAAAAAGTAGAGGTGGACCGATACAGGCTGCGTTTTAGGCTGATTTTTTTTTTACATCAGTTTATGACCCGTTTTTTTTTTCCTGGTGGGGGATAACTGCACATTAAGGCAG